GATCAAGCAAGGCACGGAATATTCAGCCTCGACTTGTTATCCGATGGCCGGCGGCTTTGGGGGCCGTCAGCTCTGTGACAACCTCCCCCGCTTAACTGTGGGCGCCTTCCCCCTCTGGTATAGCCTGATTCAAACCTGCACGAAAACGCCATCCATATCTTTCCTCTTAGAGGCTAGCAACCACCGCGGCTGCGGGTTGCAGTGCACGTCAGTGTACATACCTTGCTAACAGCGTTAACCCTCACAGCAATTCACTGTCAATGCTCACGCCCTCTATCCTGCTTGGCTCTTTGCTTGGGTGGAAATAGCGGCAGGCGATGGCCCTTAAGCAGGGGTTGTTGGCAACGCCGACACAGCGGATGCTGGCGGTAGCTGGCCTGGCTGTCCTCTCGCTCACAGCCCCAGCCATTTATTTTGCCTCTACATTCTATTCTTACGGAGGCAGTGTGCCTAATATCATTGTTTCCGGCTTCAATACCAGTTCTGCCGATCCGGGAACGGTAGAAGAAAACTGGAGAGATGCGTTTACACTTCAACCAAATAACCACATCTTTCGGAAATCGCAGACCATTCGAAATACATGGAACGTTACCATGGAAGAACGTGCACCAGATGGAGTCAAGAAGATGGTCTACTTGATCAACGGTGGGCAATTTCCCTCTTCTTAGGCCGCCCCAGAACTTAGAACGCATGAACGCATGCTTACAGTTGTAGGCCAGTTTCCAGGACCAACTATCGAAGCTAGATCTGGAGATGAGCTTGTAATTGATGTCTACAACTCAATCCAGGATAGCAGTAATGATGGGATTGCAGTCCACTGGCATGGACTCATTATGAAAGGTATGCGTTTTAGCAATAAACATAATATCCTGCTAGCAAGACTAAATTTATTAAGGAGCGAACCATATGGATGGCGTTGTCGGTTTGACACAGTGTGCCATTGGTCCATCAGAAAGATTTACGTATAGGTTCCGGATTGATGAGTCCCAGTCAGGGACATTTTGGTATTGTCATCTCTCCATCTTCTATTCTAGTGACTCATGTCAAGAAACAGGTACCATGCTCATGCGGGCCTTCAACGAGCCGACGGCCTTTTTGGCGGAATTGTGGTGCATAAACCAGTGGATTCAGCAGGGTCGGGATCTGACATGTCCACGTATCAATATGAGGCTGAAAAGCTTCTACTTGTAGGAGACTGGTATCATCGACAAGCCGACACTGTATTTCGATGGTATCAAGATCCAGGTCACTATGCAAACGAGGTATGGAAGAGTCAAGTTTTCCCAGTGATATGGAGCTCCAATTTGCCGTTAATATACCATGGTTCTAACGTAGATATCTATCACTTTCTAGCCTGCACCAGACTCTATCCTTATTAATGGTGAGGGATTGTTCAATTGCTCGATGGCGGTCAAGGCCCAGCCGGTGGTCTGCCAGACGGTGGCGAGGCCATCACTTAGACTACCGAAGGGAGACCGCGTTAGACTTAGAGTAGTAAACACTGGGTTTGTCCTCCTCCTTTTTTTTTTCACTTTTTTTGTTCTTTTGTCTCTAATGAAATATGTGACATCCAGAATTTCTTCAGGTCTCACTCTGTCTATTTCACAAGGGGCTATGCAGCTCATCACCGTCGACGGCGGGAGCCCTGTCAGAAATACTCCAATTGCGACTGTTATGGGGGTGCTTTACCCTGGAGAGCGCATGGACCTTATTCTCGATCATTGTTCACAGGATATTTTGCCACATCAAACGCAGAGTAACCACACAGACAAAGAAACCAAGCTCACAATTGCGTTGGATAGAGAGTAAGTTGCAAACTGCTTCCCCCCCGAAAAAAAAGGGTGCGTTCTATCCATCCTGACACTATTAAGATATATGAGAATCGAGAACCTCGCTCTTGCGCGAATTCAATCATTTCCTCTGCTTTGGGAAGGAACAGTTTCGGAAAACTCAAGCCTTGAGAGACATGAAAGTCCCAGCCCAACATCAAACTTCCTTCTCTCCGAGGCATCAGGACTGCCGCAATGGCCTGGCTCAGATCTCACCCATATCTCCATAGAAAAATCTGTACTGTACACTGCGATGCAGATTCGCTCGTCGTTTTATAACCGACCTGTGGGCATCTTGAATCACACTTCATGGATGATCGCAGACTCAAAGGCAAAGCCGCTCCTTGCGCTGGATCCCAAGGAATGGTCCAAGGCCACTAAGCAGCCAAGCTCCATACAGAACCTGCAGGTCCCTTGGTACCAGCAGAGTGGGAAAGACAAATGGATCGAGCTGGTGTTAAATAATATGGACGACACGGGGCACCCATTTCACTTGGTAGGCTGGGAAAGAATCCGTTTATTTTGTATGTTTGCTGACTCCCTGTAGCATGGATATGAATTTTATATCCTTTCTGTAGAAACTACGTCACGATTCGGAGGATATAACCCATTTGATTCTGATGTGGTAGACCTAGTGAAACCTAAGAACCTGGAGAGCCCTTTGCGCAAAGATACAGTTTATGTTCCCCCACGGGGATTTGCTATCCTTCAATTTCCCTTGAATAATGATGGACTGTGGCTTTTTCACTGTCACGCACTGCTGCATCAGGCCGCAGGAATGGGTATAGTCCTTCACATCGGAGATATTGATCCAGATGTGAAAAACAGCTCGTCTAATCTATGTACTGCGTAAAAGAATTACGAACAATGAAACAGATCACGAGGTGGCATGAATACGTAAGGCTTTATATTCATATTAACTTCCTTTCCTCTAGCATGTGCAAATTGCATTACGCTCTACAGGAATATGGTCAATCTATCCAATAGCTTTACTGATCATCGAACACAAATTCCAGGATGGAGAGTGCGCTCTCTCCTAGTCTCGAGACAGAACGCAGTTTGAGTCGTCTATCGGCACCGGAGCACAGCTCCACCCAATCCGCTGACGGTCGCTCTCATACATTAAATGTTGTCACCATTTCCAATTCCATAATTCTATACCGATGGTTAGGTAATGTAGCCTATTAAATGTTTTACACTTACCTTGAAATCCGCTCTTCAATCGTAGGTAGCGTATTAGGCTCCGCAAGTACCCCATCGTTTACAATCAGGCGAGACCCATTCGTGAGATAGGCGAAAATTGGCTCGTCCGTATCGAAAGGTATATTGTAGGTCGACTTGTTCGGTTTCTAACCCTTTGGCCGTTTCCATACTTCTCGCGCGCCTCTACAAGTTTCGCTGATGCTGGGTAGACCTCATCACAGGTGTGATCAACCCAGTCATTTAACGGTTTTGAGCACACCAACACAGCTGATACGGAGGTATGGGCTACAAGGCCTGTTTCTGGCTCACGGAAAATACGGTTGGTCTTCGCATGCCGTAAGATGCGTTTAAGCCAATCCTCCTCAATCCTTTGTTGCTTGGCTATCTATACAAATGTTACCCCGTGGTTAAGCGGCGCGGCTTCTACAATTTTGAAATGATGGATCCACCAAGGGCTAGGCATATCATGACGCTAGCTTTCGTCAGACCTTATCTGCAATAACAAGGTTGGTAGAGAACTCCAATACACGACATGAAAACCAACGCAGATACTCAGCCGGCGGCCCAATTACCAAATCCCTGATGGCTTGCGACGCATCTAGCAATTGTCGACGAGCATCCAGGATCTCTTTGGGAGCTGACGGGAATGCATCCGGCGCATCGGCATCGAAGGTTGTGGATAACCGTTAGCAGTGATAAAATCGTTAATTACTTTGGCCGTGTCTGTGGTCCTGGTGGCTAGATCAATGAGAGGGTTTGCAATATCGCTCGAGATTCCAAAAAACGGGAGGTGTTCGCTTAGGTCCTGACTGGAGAAGTTGTATTTTTAGCAGTTTCAAGGTTATTGTAGCGAATAAATAAATGTACGTGCAGGTACATCCACGGTTGAGTCTTGTACTGTTGATTGATTGATTTGTTCAAACAGGCATCTAAGCCCCGAGAGCCGGCCGCGCGTATGTCTGGTAGTAAGGCTCCTACCCGCCCTATTTATCGCCTCGGATCTTCAATATATTTATCTCAGATTCTTAGACCTCGGTCGAGGAACCGCTCACCACTTGTACTTGGCCGCCTTCCAAAATTACCCAACCTCTTACTAAGTCTTACCGAGTTTAGCGACCAATGGGAGGCCGCGGGGCGATTCCTCAACAGGTTTTAAGATGTACTTTCTGGACCTTGGTCAAAAATAAATTACCCCATCGCTGTTTGTGGGAGTTTGAGGAAATATGCAGAAGACGCAGGCTTTGAATATTGAGCATAAGGTTTTCCGACTGCTTTTGGGGACACGGTCACGAGACAATAAAATTGGAGTTGTTAATACGCTGCAATCCCTTGAGCTTAGAAACCTTTGGTGTCGCTACCTTCACCAAAGTACTGCGATGGAGCTACAAGGAAATCCAGGTGATTCTTGCCCTCGTGATTTCTCGAAAGGATGCAAAGAACCGCACTATCCACATTATGCATAATTTGTAAATATGCTCTCTGGAGGAATACTACGGTAACTTAACCGAGCTTCTCTGTCTAGTCGTGTGGTGTATAGACAACGAGTGAAATAGCAAGTCTCGGGCTGGGACCTGAAGCCCAACTGCCATAACCAGATCCCGCCACGCTGGCCTGGCTAGTGCTGGTCGGCATTTTTTGAAAATTTTGTAATCTAAATCAAAAATTTATTACGATTTATTTTGGAAAGATTTCATACTTCTGATTATTACTGCCTGGTTCTGCTACCTCAATAATGTGTAATCGCTATACTGCATTCCGCGATTATAAATAACCGGGTTACAGCTGGGGTGTCTCAGATAACTCGGCTTTACAGCGCACCTGAAGCGGGAGCAAGGAGCTGGCGATTAGCGCCCAATGAGCATGTTTCCTCAACAGAAATTTCGAACTAGACCTGTGAGCCACCACTCCTACTTATACAGAGAATAGGGGCCGAGCAAAATAAGTTCGCTAATAAAACAAAAAAAAAACTGGACGATGGGGTAATCGAAACCCCGACCTCATGTAATACACATGTTATATATACCAATGTTGGGTAAATATAAGCTGCGAAACACGCGTCATACCACTAGACCAAACGCCCGTGTTCCGGTTTTAGCACGTTTTTATTAAAATAGGAAAATATAGTAGGGCAATGTAGTGTAATATCGCTGTTACTGATACCTGCTTTCCCAGGAACGCGGGTACTGTTCAGAACATTACAGCAACATTGTAATATTGTAATATTGTGCAATATTATAAAAAATCTATCCATATATATCTTACTTTACAAATATCACTATATATATAATTTTATATGTATAGTGATAATTTAGGATATATCAGTAATATTGTAACATTATAAACTACTTGTGACGTTACAAAAATTAAATTACAATTCATACATAAAAGTATTGTATTTTTGTTATTCTAATTACAAATGAAAACGTATAAAGGCCTGTAGGTCTAATATAATGCGTACTTAGGAAGCCTGCATGCTGGTTCGTAAAGGCCCATTAATGGGATTGCAATATACTGCGGAAGCTTGCAGCGAGTGTCTGCCTGCGCCTGCGCGCACTGATTAGTGAGGCCGGGGTTAACGTGGTTATGTCTGCTGTACATATCTGAGAGTGGTGTTGATATATATACAACATTGAAGGGGTTGACCTTCTGGTGTAAATGTGCGTGGTGAAATCTCCAAACATTTAACTAGTTACTCTCATCAATCACGTTGTATGATCACATGATCACATGTAATTGTCAAGTTGTCAAACTGCAGGATCTTGGCACTGCTTAATAATAATAACACGGAGATGGTGCAAATTGGGAATTAGGATGTGTCAAATTGATTATAATAATGAGCATGAGATTCTAATATTACATGAGGATTCACCAATTTATATAGGGGTCCCTCAGTAATTTGACCCAATCCTATAATTCCAAATAATATAGGGGGATCGCCAATTAACGTTCCTAATAAGGATTCGTCGACTGGGAGCCTATTAGGTGCCGAGTTGGTTAGTAATCACCCTATCCGGTTGACAATACTTCTCTGAGCTCTCAAGTTCTCTCATCCAAGATAATCATTCATTCTTCCCAGTGATTTCTGCACCATATGTAGATTTCTTAATATTATTGTACATATGTAAAGCCTCACAATATTGCCACAACATTGCTGAACGGTACCCGCATTTTCTGGTATGTATTGACAGCCCCCGCCGCGCGGCGATGACCCCTCTTATTATTAATCATGAGAGCCTAGCCGCCGAGTCTCCTGGAGGGGAAATAACACGATAAGGCGGACTTGGTCGTTGTTACTAGCACACCGCCCAAAATCGCTGCCATGGCCACCCCTACAATCCCGACTATTCAGCTGAATGATGGAACTCCTTTTCCAATTGTAAGCTCGCTCAATTGCAACTGCGGCTAACAGTGAAGCATCTCACTCACAGTTGTCTTAACCTATACAAATTAATGTCAGTTGTGCAGATTGGATATGGAACGGGAACTGCTTGGTTCAAGAACGCAGACAGCCCTGCTGTTGACCGTGACCTAGTCGAGGTGGCAAATACTGCCGTCAAGCTAGGGTTTATCCATCTCGATGGCGCTGAGGTCTATGGCACTGAGCCCGAGCTAGGCCAGGCTATTGAGGAAAGCGGAGTTTCTCGAGATAGGCTCTTTGTGACCACCAAGGTCGGTACCAGCGTTCGCGACATCCCAGCCGCCATCGACGCGAGCTTAAAAAACCTTAAGACTAATTATGTAGACCTGTAAGTCTTAGTTTGTTAATTGTCCATTCGTCTATATTATAATATGATGACGCTTACCATGACCAACGCAGATACTTGATCCACAATCCGTTCTGGGCAAATACAGAGAGTGAGCTCCAAGAAGCATGGGCTGCTATGGAGAAAGTGAAGGCTTCTGGGAAAGCCCGGTCCATAGGAGTCTCCAATTTTTTGAAGGGCCACCTGGAGACTATTCTCAAGACTGCCAATGTAATTCCCGTGGTGAACCAGATCGAGTTCCACCCGTATCTCCAGCACGGAGATCTAGTTCCTTTCCAGGAGAGTAAAGGTATCAAGACCGTTAGCTACGGTGGCCTCGTTCCGATCACTCGTGCTGTAGGTGGACCATTGGACGCTTTGCTGGCTGCTCTTTCAAAGAAGTATGGGGTGGGCCAGTCCGAGATCTTGCTCCGTTGGTCATTGGACCACAAGTGTGTCGCAATTACTACGAGTAGCAAGGAATCGCGCCTGGCAAGCTATTTACAAGCTTTGAGTTTCCAGTTAACCTCTGAAGAGGTAGAGGAGATTGACATACTTGGCCGGCAGAAGCATTACCGCGCATTTTGGGGCAAGTTTTTTGCACCAGATGACCGTTCGTGATCTTTCGCCCGGGAATATTATTGCCATATAGTTCGATCCTCACGTTTACAAGACAGTCCCCATAAAAGGGCTTGGGTTGAGAACGACTTTGCTCGTGTTACAAGCGTATCTATACACTAATATGAAGTACAAATGGAGGAGACTACAGTTTTTGCTGAAGCTACTTGTCAGTGTATCAAACTCTGCTAAGACGGATCCCCTGTAAATGGATAGGCAGAGTCTATTTTTTCAAAGAGTAACTAGACACCGGTATTGTGGTTGAGTTGGTTTCTCAAAGGTTAATGTTGATTCAGTCTGAATTGGTGTTTTGCATGCTATATCTTCCTCTCCCAAAATCAAGCAGTTCAATACCGGAAATTACAGGAACGCGGATACTGTTCAGCAACGTTGCGGCAATGTTGCAAGAAATCTACACGTACCTTATCATTCCAAAAGTCGCCGTGTAGATAATTTTTTGGGCGTAGTGGCTCCTTTGATTGACGTGTCAGTATTGTTGTAATGTTGTAGACCGTTTATTAGTTGCAAACCGCTTCTAACGTTGTAACACTAGATACCTTTAGATTTCTTTATAGGTTGGAAAATAAATTACAATTCATATCGAAATTAATTGTATTTTTATATTCTAATTATAATTTAAGAGACTGTAGCGAGGCCTGCCTGCGTGCACTGGTTCAATGTGTTCTTGAGTTTTGGGGTGACATGGTTATATCCATATAAAAGAGTGATGTTGATATAGCAGTTTCATATTATGTATTAAAATATTGATATAGTTAATAAATTAGTAACATAATAATAATATAACAATAATGATACCGTTTTTTTAATTTTTATTTGGTTGTATAACCATTACGAGGACGCTCAACGTCGCTGAGCCGTATCTGCGTTCCTGCAAAAGCCGGTATACTCCGAATTCATTCCACAATTTCTAGTCCACAAATAGACACCCGTAATGCATCGGCATCTCATAAATTCTGCGAGACCATTTTACAATAACCCCAATGTCATGATTGGTTACGGAGGCCTATGGGTGCCACCTCGCCAGAACTCTGTAAAAAAAAAGAAATTAATACATATTATTTCTAAAATAGCTGTAAATTACGTCAATATACTAAGTATATTTTTGGAACTTACTCGTCATAGGATGTCTGGACTTTATAATATAGCTTGCCCCACTATATTATATTATATCTATTATTGCATCGACACTTTCAACCTCGAGCTGAATGGATAACAAACTTCGTCACAACCTCTTATATTTGTTTCCCGATACAGTCATGACATGTGCTGCCCTCGGTCAAGTAGGTGTAGAAAGTACAACATGGACGTAAAAATACCAGTGCTCTTAGCAAAACGAGTATCTAGGTTATCGTATCTTCTTTACAATAATACTATGAGATTTACTGTTATGGACTAACGGGATCTCCGCCATTTGTGTATATATATTAAAACTTCACCCTGCCTTTCAAGAGGATGGGGACTCGAAAATAATATATATTATAACTTCTGGATGTAAGATAAACAACAGTGAGAAGTCAAAGGTGCAATAATATACCCCGGGTGTTTCTCTTCGACTTGGTCAATGAACAATGTTTGGGGTGTACTTCTGAACGATAGCTAGGCGCAGACCACTATGAGCGATGGAGCAGCTCATACTGATTGGATAGATAATGCAACTGAAGTCCTGTTGGCTGTCTGTTTGACATAGAAGGGGCTTCTTTCACTTGGAACGTACGTAAAGACAGTATCTGCTAATGAGTGCGCCATACTGCCACACACTGCGTTTGCAAAAGTTGCGGTACTATGTTGAAATATTCGAAGATAAATATGAGTTTTTAGGAAATTTTAAAATGCCGAGGTCATATATGGGGCCTTTCCTAGTGGTTACAGTGAAAAAATGAGAAACAAGCCACTGGCTGTGATTCCTCAAGGTTCAGCGATAAGGATACCCGAAGACAGACTTTGAGAGGTAAACACAAGAATTCGCTATGGCCTAAATGTTACAGTGTCTGTTAATACTTACTGCATGCGGATTTTTAATGTCCTTGTTGGAAGAGAGAAGATATGCAACCCCCGGCCACATGGATTTTAAATTCACTACCTAGAGGGAAGAACCGGCGCTTACCATTTTCAATCCGACCCGTTGCTGTTCTACAGTAAAACCTCGCCCCCACGGCACGAAAAACACAGCCCCTAATCATCGCTCATTACTAGGCTTTAACACCCAGTAGTCATAGCACGAGACTCCGTTCCCGCAGGTTTGATGACACCCTACCTTTGCCCAATACAGACCGTTTCATCCCTTTCACGTGAGGAGAGGCAATACCTGATAACACTTAACTACGTATTATTATTAATGCAGCAATAGCGGTTTCCTGGCTATCAAGTCCGGCATGATTGATAGGCTGCTGTAGGAATAGATTGTTTTTTGCTTGATACATACTCCGCACTTGTACTCCGTTTATAACTAGCGGATTCGGCACTGATTATTTGAGAGAGTTCGCTACTTTCTTCACGAGGGCAGTTGTAACTTCGTAACAATGCAGCCGACTTTGGTGACGACTACTGCTCTCTGCTTCTTTCTTTCACTTTGTTATGGCACCCCACACCAGAAACAGTCGAACTACATTTCAAGCTGCGGTGATAACTGGATGGCGCGCGACAATGTGAGCACGAACAATGGCGAGATCCCACGGCGAGGCTACTTGTCGGCCGTTGC